ATTTATCCCAATATTCAACATTTGATTCAGGTCTATAAATACATCCTAATACATATTTTTGCTTATTGAATAATACTTCAATCCATATCATTTCTATATCTTCATGCACAAGATCAATTCTTCTTTCAGTATGTACTGTGTCTTTGTGATAAATATTTACTCCTTCCCCAGGTCCAGTTTTTCTATCAAGTCTATGAATGTTATGGGAATAGGAGTTAAGTGTTATTTCAGCATCAGTTATATTTGGAGAAAGGTGTGTTTCAGTAAGACATAATACAGTTGTGTGACCGCACAACGCACCACAAATACCGTGCGCACATCGTTCACACACCGTCCGCACATCGTCCACACATGGTGCGCACAACTGTGCGATTTAACAATCGTTCGCCCCGTTGTGCGCTTTTCTCCGCACAACTGTGCGATTTGGTACAATTTGTTGATCAATATTACGGAATGCAAAAAATACGGAAGGCTCGTATGCAATAATGTACACTGTATATATATCTGTAATTTCTCATCACAATAATTAAGATTATCTACAATTTTACAATGCGTGTTACACAGTGTTACAGTGACCGTTAGACTGGCAAGAATGGGTTTAGCTTCTAGGTGACAGAACAGGTAAATAACAATTTCATGAGTGACCGGAGTTTTACCTGGCCTGTCCCTGACACATAGAGCTGATATGTGATACCGTATGACCGTTATGAAAACACAACTGGACGTTAAGTAGTTGTTATTTGCATTCGATTTGGTCTATATCTCCCCTTCACCTGGTTTTCACACCTTGGCGAGTTACGTAAGTGCCCCGGGCGGGGGATAACTACGGTCTAGGTACAGGTATAAAGTGGTTATGTTTACCTGTATTGCCGAGACTGTGTTGTAATTTTACATGGGTCGATTTAGGTTGTTTAAAAAACACCGAAAACACCATTTCTAAATTTAAGAAAATATAGACAGAAAGATCAGCTTATAGATGTAGCTAGAATATAGAAACATACATAAAAATCAAGTGTATATGTTTAAACACGAATTCGTATATATTGTTAAAGCATTCCTCAATTTACACCAACCACGATTGTTATCGCACAACATTCGCCCATCGTCTGCACAAATGTGCGAAAGCATTTATCGTCCAATTTTTTATCGTTCGGACTTCGTGCACACATCGTGCACACATCGTGTAACGTTGTGCGACCCGCAACTGTGTGTCACTTTCATGTAATTCTGCTTCAATGATATCAAATTTGGTTCTGAGAGATCTAACATTAAGATGTGATATTTATATGTTACATTGGGGTGCTGGATTTAGTACAATATCATTGCAAATAAGTAATATGTTTTTTAATGGTACATAAAAGATATTCAAAGTTTTTAAGTTTGAAAAAATGTGATTCATCAAAAAGTAAACAATATATAAAGTAATAGCTAGGGTATGTAATTTTACCTGCAAATGCTCGGATGATCAATGTGTTGATATAATAATAATCCCCACAATATAGATGTGTCCCTATAAATATAATTGCGATATTCTTATATTTATCCATTATCAAATACAATTGAGTGGTAAACATTAGGACACATCAATAGGTTTCTGGTGTAAACAAACTGTCAAAACTGGACAAACATGTCCAGGCACAACAACTGAAAGTTCTGTGAGAAGTTACAGTCGAGGATGATCTACCAGTCTAAAGCACAATTTAACCGAAACACTAGCATCCATAGTTCAGCCGAACATCAGTCTCCAAATCATTTTCCGTGACAACACACGTGTTCAGGATCACGTGATTTAAATCCACCAATCTGATGCTGCCAAATGACACAATCAACTCAGCTCTCTTCTTCAAATAACTTTCTTTCTGCCGGCCTTCTATCAAATACTTTGTTTGCGCACTGAGTCTTTATTTGTGGACAAAAATAGGACAGCCATCGTGTTTACCGCCTCACAACAGCCTAATTACAATATAAAATGGCCGAAGACTTCTCCCCACTCAGCTGAGCGCACGAGACATTTGACGTTACTTAGCAACACAATACACAATGTTGCTTGTTGAAATATTTTTGCGCACGTGATAAAGTGCCATTTTTAAGAATAATTTATCGATTTTATTTATCAATGGATTTTTTTTTTCATTGGGGTATGCAAATAATTTGTTTTGCAAATTGTATTAATTTGCGTAACGGATTCTTACAAAGTTTTCAACGTATAATGGATACGACAGTCTTCAAGTTATTTCTCATTTGTGGCATTGAATAAGTCGGTTATCAACATTGTTAGTATTTTATGAGTCGGTCATTGAGTTGTTTTTACATTAGAAGTGTTGGATAAGTCAGATACCAAGTTGTTTTACACTGGTAGCATTGACTAAGTCGGTCATCAAGTTGTTTTACACTGGTAGTATTGGATAAGTCAGATATCAAGTTATTGTACACTGGTAGTATGGATAAGTCAGATATCAAGTTATTGTACACTGGTAGTATGGTTAAGTCAGATATCAAGTTATTGTACACTGGTAGTATTGGATTGTGGCACCCGGTTAGATTTGTTAATTCATTTTAATTCCTTATATTCCTAAAGATTCACTAAAATATATTGAGTCTTATTAGGATTACTTTGTATAACAATGTGTCGTTGATTGTAATCCTTAATCCGCGCTCCGCATCCGCAATCGCTGTCGCCTAGTCTCGTGTGTTACTTTCGTTTTGAATGGAATGTATGAGAGTGTGACGTAATTGTGAATGTTGTATACCTGTTTGACCAGTGACAAACTGACCTCTGACACCTGTCGCATTGCGTGATATTTCCCGCTTCAATGTTTTATTTGCTTCTCTGTCCTTTCTTTTCCATTCACTTCCTATCTGCTCCTGGTAGAGGCAACATCGCCATATATACATACTTACGAAATATACATACCTGGCAGATTATACTAGTGGATCCCCGGTACCACATACAGGGTAAGCTATTGGTCAAATACAATATATAAGCTATTGCTAAACTTAATATTTATGCTGATAAATATTAATGCTCCATAATTTATATTTATTGGGAATGCTATAACGTGCCGTAAATTGCTCATATATAATTATGGGTGTGGTTATTGACTAAGTGAACACTTTCCTTATTGAACACTGATTTTATACTTCGGTGTAGTTTACTGGTATTATAAGTATTATGTGAACCATATTCATATATAGTTTTCTAGGCTACTTTAAATAATTGTTTTATAAACCTTACGTCTTTTAAAGTATCGTACGTTACAACGTGAATTGTCCATATGTAAATGTATTGTTAGGCGAGTTCGTTTCTGTATATTGTCTCATGTGTGTTTTAATATTGTTACAGGGAAATAAATACCCACTAAATCAAAGATATATGGTATTCGTCATCTATTGCAAAAGAACCCAAACACCACA